GAGGCGCTACACACCCGATTGCAGCTGTAAGGTGCGCAGTGCGCCTGGGGGTAGGGCCATGCATGCGCCATGTGCCTGGGGGCAGAACCGCACATGCGTGATGTGCCTGCTGCCCGGGGTGCAGGAACGGCTCGAGCCGGCCCTGGTCATCTGTCCAAGTTTCCACTTCTTATAAGCTTCCTTTTTGTGTTTAAGCTCACCAAGGATTTCCCTACTATGTCAATCTGGTCGCCTACCATATTTTCTTTTCTTACAGTGCATCTGGATGGTTTGTTCCTGTGACTTCAATAAGGCTTCTTTAAAATATAGCCAGATATCCTGGACTCCTTTCCCCTTCATGTAAGCATCCCAGGGAACTCTGCCCATCAGTTCTCTGAGGGAGTCTGCTTTCCTGAAGTCCAGGGTGTGGATTTTGCTGCTCTCTCATGTAATAATGATATTACATGAGTTGTACTCATTTGAAATTACTTTTTTGTGGTCAATAAACGTCTGGAGGTCAAACCCTTTTGGCATGTGTTAGTATTAGCTAGGAATTATAGCTCTAAGCTCATATAATATAGGCTCATGATACCATCTACATTGTTTTTTAGTCTCTAAAGTGCTGCAGGACTATTTGCTGTTTTTAAAGTTTTTTCAGTTAGGGTATGTCTACACTGCAAACTTATTTCAGAATAAGCTATTCTGGAAGAACTACTCCAAAATAGCTGTTTTGGAATAGGAGTTATTCCTCGTGGAATGAGGTTTACAGAAGTCGGAATAAGTTGTCCATTATTTTGAATTCATTTCAAAATAACGGAATTGCTATGTAGACACTCGCATTGTTTTTTTTGAATAATGGCTCTTACTCTGAAATAATGCTGCTGTGTAGACGCACTCTTAGGGTATGTCTAGACTGCACCCCTCTGCCGGCAGAGGGATACAGATTAGGCTGGGAAAAATTGCTAATGAAGTGGGAATTTAAATATCCTGTGCTTCATTTGCATAAAAATGGCTGCCGCTTTTTTTTCAGCACAGAGCTTTGTCGGAGAAAAGCGGCAGTCTAGAGGCTGATCTCTTGCTAAAGAAAGCCTTTTCCGATAGATCCCTTATGCCTCGTAAAATATGATATACAGGATCTATCGGAAAGGGCTTTCTTTAGCGATAGATCAGCTTCTAGACTGCCGCTTTTCTCCGACAAAGCTCCGTGCTGAAAAAAAGCGGCAGCCATTTTTATGCAAATGAAGCGCAGGATATTTAAATCCCCACTTCATTAGCAATTTTGCCCAATCTAATCTGCATCCCTCTACCCTTATAGACTAACATGGCTACCTCTCTGAAACTTAGGAATTATAGTATGTGAAATGTGATTGAGACTAAAGTACGTTGGAGGTACAAATTTTCCGTCATTAGTGGGATAAGCTTAACCATGGCTGAAATGGACTTTCCACAAAGAAGGAGAAAGCTTCATCTCAAAGCCATTCTGAAACAAGTAGCTGAAGAAATCTCTCAAAATGTTGGTTTTTTTCAAGAATTTCCTCCTTCAACCCACTCCTCTTAACCGTAGGCCTGTACATGTTCGAATGCGCACACATACAGCAGCTGACAGAAAAATCTTCTATTTTTGGTTAGAAGTACATTGAAGCTGTCCCTTCCAAGCATGATATAAATATATACTGATGAGAAGGACAGAAGCGGGAATAAAATGGGACTAACCAAATCTTTACTCTTGGAAGCCACATGAGTTGTAATCTTGATTTTAACAAGGTCCTTTCAGAAGCTGCTTTGATGACACCAACAGTGGGTGCAGTTTTGCCACCAATCCTAGCAAATGTAAACAAATTCTGTCCATAGCTACCCTATTCTACACACAAGGATGGTGTAAGGATTGTCAGGTCTTTCCATCCCCTCTTCCTTCCAGCTTGGTTATGTTTTCCAGTCTCTCATACCAAAGGCTTAGAAACCTACATTTGTGTTAAATGAGAACTGAGGTTCTCCTTTATGGGGACCAAACATTGATTCTATTAATAAGGATTTTGTGAAATTCATATGTCTCCTCCAGCTTATCAGCAACCTTGGTCATCCTATGCATAGACCAGTACAATAAAACACAGGAATTCAAAAGTCATAAGTCATTCGCTTCCCCCTCCCCAAAATCATAAGGTTTATAAAAAACGCATTTTGCTTTCTGATTTTAGGACCTTTGCATTTCATATTCTGTGCAACTTACATTAAAAAAACATAAGCTGAGAGTCTCAGTGGAAATCACATGACTCCAGGACCTGGAGCTTTCAGAAAAAACAAGAATATCATGAAATCTGACAACACCATTTTATCACCATAGTGTAACCATACACTTTCTGGGAGTGGTGCACTGTCTCATCTAGTAGCACTGAGACCACTTACAGAAATAATAATGAGCCTGTTCTACAGGCTGGCTTATAACTCATATGATAGAAGAGACTCATGCTCCAGAGGTCTGGGGTTTGATTCTGCCTGCAAACAACCGGGGTTTGTCGGTGTTGCAATAACATAATATGCATTTAAAAGATTCCACGTCTCCAGTTCAAAACAAACAAAAGCCCTATCACAAACCCCTCTTAATTTACCATGCAGTGTTTGTTCATGGATGATTGTCCACGTTTTCATACTTATAAACACAGAAGCATCAGAATATATTAACAGAACAAAAATTAATCACTTCCCATGTGCAAGGAGAACTATAAATTGCTTAATTGACTGCTCCATCCTGTACAACTATTATTATTCAAACACTGTCCTCTTCTTCAGAACAGACATGTATTGCATGCAAATCATAAGCCATCTGGCTTGTAAGAACATTAGCCCAGAAGAAAATGAGAATCTTGCCACTTTGTAAGAAAATTATCTGCTCTGAGCTGCACATATACAAGGGGACACGGAAAGCTAATGCACGATGAGATCACACTTCAAACAGTAAAGGGCCAGGCTCAAAGCTCTGAGATGTCTGTTTTCCATACTTCCTTAGCAACCCCAGTTCTCACTTTGAATGCTCTTGGTTGTCCAGGCATCACCCTTTTTAGGACTCAGATATGGCATTGTTGGTGAGGGCTTCTAGTCATTGCAAAAGTTCAAGTGGTTTTGCAATGCCCTGTGCTGTGGTTTTTGCTTTGCAAGAATTTAAAACACAAGAAGTATGTGTAACATACACATTTGCTTGAAACGACTTCCTGTATGTGGAATTATGGCAGGAAGTACAAATTCTCAGCATCCTTTTCCGTGTTTGAAAAAGAAAGACTGCTAGTTAAAAATTGTCTCTTGCAAAATAATAAAGAGGCTCCTGTCCACATTTGGAGCTACAGAACGCACAATGCATCCAGGCTGGGAGTGCAGCAAGAAGGCTTCAATCCGCCTTTGCGCTCCCCTGATCCTGTGCTGACTATGTGCAGGTCTGGCCCCCAAGGTCCATTGCAGCAAGTGGAAAATTACTGGGGAGCCCTGGCAATGGCCCTTTTCTGCAGCTATGTTCCTCAACCAGATGCCAGGAGGGGCCTGTGGCCTGGAGCCACTATGCAAGCTCTGTGTTACCTTAGGATACGCTTGGGTGTTTTTTCCCAGGGCTCAGTACCTTGGCCGCGGGGCTGCTTTGTACTGCTCCAGTGAAGCAAAAGACCCAAACACAGGTGAGGCTTGGAGCCAAAGTCCTTACCTAGAACAATGACATTGTCTCTTTTTTTAAAAAGAGAGGAAAACATAGGAATTTACTTTTCACTGTTTACTCTGCATTTCCTCTCATGTTAGCCATTTAAAGTAGACTAGTCAGTTTCACGTTGAAGGCATCTCTTACAAATCTAGTGTGTTAAAAAAGGGACAGGGTAATGAATCATACTTGGAACCATACTTGATATTCAGGTCCCTTTTGTCCCAGAAAATTGCAACACCATTTACACAAACGTGGCTGGATGTGCACATAGACCACCACTTTGAAGGGCACTTTCCTCCATGGTGGGCTGCAGCAATAAACTGGCAGGCTATCGGGGCTGGTGATAATGATGTGAAATGTCAGCAGAATAACTTATTCAAAATTTGAAGTCAAGTACAGCAAGTTGCAAAGTAAGGCCGGTCACACCTGGCATAGAAGGGTGTGAAAGGCATCTAGTGACAGAACTGATCAATCAAAAAATCTCATTGTGGTGGGGACTTGTCTGAATCCATGTGGAGAACAGCTGGTATACTACTAATTTTGGATGAAAAACAAGGGCACGTCTATACTGCAGGGCTAAAGCCGAAATAAGCTGAGCAACTTGAGCTACGTCAATTGCATAGCTTAAATCGAAATAGCTTATTTTGGTTTTTAGTGCTGTCTATGCAGCAGTTATTTCGAGATGGAGCACTCTTCCTCCAACTTCCCTTACTCCCAATACAATGAGGGTTACAGGAGTCGGAGTAAGCAGTCTTTCGGTTCAACATTATTTCAACATAATGTTCGGGCCGTGTCATTTTGGAATAACTCACGTTATTCCGAAATAACGCTGCTGTGTAGACATAGTCCAAAGGACAGAGTGCCAAATCAAGGGAAATTATTAATTTAAACGGGGCCTGTTAGGCCAAATAGCCATATCCTTGTCTGGGAATTCTTTTTGGGTAAAGGTAATGTCTTTCAAAAGTGCCTGATCGAATTTCTATGAGCAACTTGGATTTCTACGTGTTGTTATTTTTGAAAATGGGACATGTGCTACTGAAAATGTTACCCAAAGGGTACCTGATGGTAATTCTACTCTTCTACACCAAGAGTACACCACTTAGTTATAGTCCTACTTTCCCACCCAACTGTGAGCCAAGTAAAAAAGAATGGAAGAGTCGATTAATACAAAAATGTATTCTCTGTAAGCAGCTAGAGCTTCCAAGTACATCAGCAAACTTTTAGATTATAATAAAGACAGTTACAAACCAACTGTTTATATCTTAGAGTCAGCTACAGATGCATTTTTGCAAATATAGGCTCAGCTTCAACAGAAGAAATAACTAAGGAATTTTGTTAATAGGGCACAAGCAGAAGAGAGATATGGGAAAGAGCTGGTTCAAATTGCACGAAAAGCAGGAGGACACACAGAAATCAAGTAAGTCTTTTTCAAGCTTGTTGCTTTAAAGTGCTTCCTGTTTGATACATCAGATACACGGTCTTCACTGAGGAACGGATCAGAAAGGTCCACTTCACACTGAAATAAGCTTCCATTTCAGGTGACCTCTTTGTACAGCAAAGTTCAATTCATTTTGTTAAGCGTTTTTTCTCCGTTTGGCCCCTCTTGGCTGTTTGGTAATAAAATGGCAGTTGTAGCTGGGAGTTTCCTTACCAAGTTTTTATTTCCATATGATCGCTCTCTGCAGCTGGTCTGTGTAGGGATGGAAAGGAAAAGGGCTTTGGACTTGGGCAGGTGTAGAAATCTTGTTTAAGCTTATATTAGAAATATAGGCCTAGTTCTAGAGCTGCATGAAAGACCTTCACTCTTCTATTAACTAATGTCCTGCAGCAGGCTAGAGCAACACATAGTATTTATCTGAGCCCTCTCCTGTTTGCTGCCAGTGTGTATAAATGGAGGTGGAGAAGGGGAGGGATAGGGATGTATTTGGCAAGGAATTCTACTTCATAAACAGCCTTGCTGAGCTGCTGCTATTACGGAGTGATGCAGCAGTAATGAGACATCCTGTCATTACAGCCATAAGTAATAAGCAGTAGTAATAAGGTGGAAGAGGATGAAGATCTGGGGTCACGATAGTTAGGGCTGAAAGAGGGGACTCCAATCTATATAAACCTTCACTAAAGTTCTTCAGGGTCACCCACCCCCTCCAGCCCAGATCAGTTTTTTTAATTGCATCCTATTGGTTTGATCAATTTATCACTCACTCCCCCTGATGCGCATATGAATTTCTTTTAGTTTTTAATGGAAAATCTGACCTCAAATCCCTGGATTATTTCCTGGGCACCATCACAGTAGGCAAGTACCAATCAATCACCTGTGGTACTAGCCCTCACATGCAGTGGCACATCCCGGATTAAAGGGCCTTTAGGGAAATGCTGAATTTGATCTGGTCATTAATTTGAACTAGTGAAAAACAGTGGAGAGCTTTGAGGCTCACACTAAGGGCATTTTTCTCTGCACGCTCTTTCTTTCTCCCTTCTCCTGGGTCTTTAAGCAAATCCAGTATATTAAAAGGAACATTGAAGAATTCTCTCATTAGGGAAAATCAGTTTCTTGCAATTTCCATTGAAAATGACTTTAAATACCCTGATGGCTCATTTCATAGAGTGAAAATGAGGGAAAATGGCAATAAGGGTTTGCAAATTAAAAGAGCGGATCAACGAGAATGGACTGTTTCATCCTCAGTGAAATCTGTATGCCTTTTGTAAGGCCAGGACTGACAAGAAACTTTCTTCTAAATTTCCTTCCTGGCAAAGTGGGGCTAGCAGGATTGTGTTGCTGTCCCACAACTGGAGTAGGCAACCTATAGAAATTGTGTCCCTAACAGTTATAATAATTTGATCTGGAGATAGTCCGAGGCATAGGTCCGGTTTGGCGGGGCACGAGGGGTCATGTCGTCCCCCCTGAGACGGTTTAACTGCTGAAGCAGTTGCCCTCACTCTGCACCTCCTGCCCCACAGGCCTCTGGGCCCAGGCTTCAGCCTTGGGTTATGGATCTTAATTTCCCTAGAGTTAGGGTATGCTTGGATCCAGGGCTTGGCATTTTTACTTTACACCGGTATTTGTAATATTTTGTCATGCACAAATAGGTGAATACACTATCACAATGTGCTTTCAAGCTCATTTAGACAGTGATGTTTCTATTTAACCATGGCCAGTCTAATGCTAGTGAGCCTCTTTGCTATGATGCTATTGTCACAGATGTCTCACTACAGTAGTATATTGGGGTTGAGAGGGACAGAACATACCATTCATCCCTCAGCATCCTCTCTGATCATTTAAAGAGCCATACATATGGACTTAGAAAAGACTCCAGTCCAGAAGACGTGTGGGTATAAACTAGACAGAACTGAGATCTAAGCATGGCACTTATTGGCATGACTAATGAAAATATATGTAGTTTTCATAGCCTATATTTTGATTCCATATCATGTTCTTGTTTCCTTGCCTGAATATATGCTGCAGACAGCAATTCTGCATCTAAGAAGCAATGTTCAGAGAGGGAACAAACATAACAGTGATAGTCAAAAAGTTTTTAAAAGAATTGCACCACAACTAACTTCACCTTCCACATTCTAATGAAATAGAACTTGTAAGTCTGTTTGTAATAGTGTCAACTGGTTGCTCCCAATAGTATTCAAAAATTTAGACTGAACCTGAAATAAAATATCTCAGCATGTTTAAATGCAGCTTTTGAATGTGCATCTGGACAGCAGTAAATCTGGAATGTAACCTAAGGAAAAACAGCTTCAGTTTTTCTTGCAGAAAACTTGAGTGAACATCCTGTGTCATGCCATATATGGATTCATAAAAGCTAAAGATGGAAAAAAATCCATCACTGGTCACTTGGTCTATCTTCCTGCTAGAACAAGACTGTTCCCTAGTCTTTTGTCCAGTCTAATGTTAAATGTCTCCAGGGAAAAGGCTTTTCATCACCTCTCTTGGGAAATTATTTTATATTCTAGCAGATCTCAATGTCAGGAAGTTTTTCCTGACATTTAGCCTTAAAAAGGTCCCTCTCTTAATTTCATCCCTTTATTTCAAGATTTTTAAATTGGCACCAGGGAGGAAAAATTACCCCCATAAATACACACAGAGAACTTCCAGAAGGCCCTAGAGAGAAACAATGACAAGGCTAAGCTGTAAATCTGATGGAACATTAAAACAGCCAGTGCTGACTGACATGACTGATAAACTATTTGAAAAATACCTCCATGGCATCCACAAGTCACAATGATTCTTTGGAGAACTTACATAAAATGAAACTGAAAGGCAAAAGAGGCTGGAATGCTTTAGGCATAAAACCTACATGGCCCCATTCTAGGATCACCTGGCCTTCTTTGCAAAGAGCCACTGGCAAACCTACTCTGCAGGCAGAAAAAGGGAGAAATTGGTCTCTGCCAAATCCAGGAAGTTGCATAGTAAGCAGCCCAACAGTGCTCCAAATGCTCATGGCAATATGAACAGCTCTGTCCAACTTCAGACAATTGTTTTCCACTGGGCACGTCACATCTCCTGCCCCCAAAGGAACTTAGGGCACATCTACACAGCAAGGCTAAAGCCGAAATAAGCGACCCAATTTGAGCTATGTCAATTGCGTAGCTTAACTCGAAATAGCTTATTTCCACTTTTGGTGCTGTCTACACAGCAGTTATTTCAAGATAGAGCACTCTTCCAATGACTTACTGTACTCTTCATACAATGAGCTGTGTCTACACTGGCCTCCCTTTCAGAAAAGGGATGCTAATGTAGCACTTTGGAATAGGCAAACTATTTGAAAGCAGGAATAAGAGATCCTCTGGAAAAGGCTTTATTTTCCGGAGAATCACGTCTAGACTGGCGCTTATCTCCGGCTTATCTCCAACTTGGAAAAAAGCGGTAGCCATGTTAATGCAAATGCTGCGGGGGATATTTAAATCCCCTGCGGATTTGCCTATTCCAAAGTGCTACATTAGCATCCCTTTTCCGGAAGGGAGGCCACTGTAGACGTAGCCTGAGGGTACAGGAGTTGGAGTAAGAAGGCCTCCATTTCGACACTATTTCGACATTATGTAGAAATAACTGCTTGTGTGTAGATATGGACTATGCTACTTCGGAATAACATCAATTATAACATCAGTTATTCTGAAATAACACTGCCATGTCGACATACCCTTGGGCTGTGTCTACATTGGCAAGATTTTGCGCAAAAGCAGCTGCCTGTCTACACTGGCCGCAAGTTCTTGCACAAGAACACTGACGTTCTAATGTAAGAAATCGGTGCTTCTTGAGCAAGAACTATGACGCTCCTGCTCAGGAATAAGCCCTCTTGCACAAGTGTTCTTGCGCAAGAGGCCAGTGTAGACAGGCAACGTGAATTTCTTGTGCAAGAGAGCGTCAACACTGGCACGGGTGCTTTTGCGCAAAAGCACATCTCTTGTGCAAAAGCACATGCCAGTGTAGATGCTCTCTTGCGCAAATACTTTAACGCGAAAACTCTTGCGCTAAAAGTATTTGTGCAAAATCTTGCCAATGTAGACAAAGCCTCAGAGATTGGGTCTTCTCTAATGTCCACTATACCTGGAGAAGTGGCCTGGGAACTGGAGAAGAGAGGCAAAGAGAAATTAGCTGGAGTGCAGGAAAGCCTATTCAGGTCTTCACCTCAGCCCAACTGGAATGGGACCCTAAGCAGTACAGGCAAGAATGTGTGTCCACCAGAGTTCACCTTCATGAGCAAGCTGCCTCTTCTCCACAGTAGCTGACTTGGGTTGGTAGAAGTACAGTCAGCAGCCCATGGTAATGTGCCAGGAAAAGGGGACTGTCAACCTAATAGTCAAGTGGTTGGACTCAAGGGAGGACCAGTTTGGGCTCAAGGGAGGACCAAGCAGCAAAGAGATGGATCTTTAGAACCAAAGATTCATACAGAGACTGGGCCCCAAAGAAAGAGACTCCAGGCTAGTTCTTCAGGGGTAACCAAACTCTTTCAAGCTTCCCATAGAGTTTTGGATTCAGTTACTTACATTTTATCTAGCCCAGTCTGTCCATTTTTCATGTCCCTAGGACAATGTGTTGTGAAAACTCCCTGGTAAAATGAAAAGATTCCCCTCTCCTAAATTGGATCAAAACACAAGGAAGACCTAACCACTAGCTGCCTCCAACCTCTGCCCTAATCCCCCAACTTCTGCCCTGAGACTCTCCTCACTCCCCAACCCTGATTCCTATACCCACATACCTCCAGCCCTCTGCCCTGAGCCCCCCACAACCCAAGCCTCTGCCCTGATTCCTGCACCCCCCACACCCTCAGCCCGTTGCCTTGAAGGACCTGAGCAATGCCAGGTAAATCTTCAAGTTACTACTAAAAGAAAAGTTAGGAATCATAGGGGCTACGTCTACACTGGCCCCTTTTCCGGAAGGGGCATGTAAATTTCACGAGTCGTCAT